AGTGAACATAGACCCTACTCCGCCCCAAGCCCCAGAGAAGAGTACTGTCCTCCTTTTGTAAAGAGTCTTATGGGGCCTCCTTTGGCCTAGGCTTACTGGGGCAGCACAGCCTATAGGCAGCACAGCCAATAGGCTGGGATTTGTCCTAAGACTTCCTCGTTGATTTATGTATCTGCCAACCCCTCCCCTTTGAGACTATCCATTCTGTAAGGGTGATGGTCAGTTTTCTTTTCCTTTCCTTGGTGAAAGTGTTAGCTATTCAGTGATATCCGACTCTTGGAGACCCCATGGACCATAGCCTGCCAGGCTCCTCTCTCCATGGGATTCTCCAGGCAAGTATACTGGGGATATTCCCCACTGAGCGATTGAACCTGGGTCTCCTGCCTTGGAGGCGGACTCTTTACCATCTGAGCCTCCAGGGAACTCTTAAGGCCGGGATGGTCATTAGAAGGAGATGCCAGGGTAGGAAGCCCTAAGGAACCTGCGGGGTGGGATGGAGAGCGGGGGGAGTAGAGCCGCAAACAAGCTGGCTCTGGGTTGGTTCAGAGAGGAGGGGTGGAGATACACACCATCACCTGAGAGAAAAAGTCAGCGGTAAAACAAGACAGGACAGATACAGCTCCCACCTTCGAAACGCGGGAAATGAAGGGAATTTGCCAGAAACAGACGGACAAGAGGGCCAGAGGGGAGCAAAAACTATCTTCCATTTTCATCTAAATGCCTCAGAAGTCTCCTGTGTAAGAAACCTACACACAGACTCCCTCACAGACGGACACACTGCCCCACCTCTACACAAAGCTATTCATTGCAGAACTGATTGTAAAACAGTGGAGACAACCCAACGTCTATCAGTAAGGAACTGGTTAGTTAGATTTTCATACGATGGGACACTCTTCAGTCCAAGAAAGAAGGAGGAAGTCTTTGCCACTCCGATAAGGAACAATTGTCAAAATATATTTTAAGTGGAAAAAAAAAATGCAGTGGTGCATAATCAGGGAAATAAAAAGTTAAATCAGAATGTATGAGTCTGTAAAAGTTTAAGAACTGATTAATTCTAAGCATCAGCAAGGGAGTGAAGCAAAGGGAACTCTCAATGACCTGGCAAGTATGTGAACTGACACAACCACTCTGGGAAAGTGTGCCTTCATCTATTTGAAGCTGACAACGTGTTTTCCCTCAGCTCACCTCAGTCACTTCGGTCACGTCCGACTCTGTGCGACCCTATGGACTGTAGCTCGCCAGGCTCCTCTGTCCATGGGATTTCCCGGGAAAGAATACTGGAGTGTGTTGCCATGCCCTCCTCCGGGGGATCTTCCTAATCCAAGGATCAAACACCTGTCTCCTGCATCTCCTGCATTGCAGGCATATTCTTTACCAATGAGCCCCCTGGAAATCCCCATGTGTGTTTCCTCAGTTCAGTTCAGTTCAGTCGCTCAGTCGTGTCCGACTCTTTGCAACCCCATGAATCGCAGCACACCAGGCCTCCCTGTCCATCACCAGCTCCCGGTGTTTACTCAAACTCATGTCCATCGAGTCAGTGATGCCATCTAGCCATCTCATCCTCTGTCGTCCTCTTCTCCTCCTGCCCCCAATCTCTCCCAGCATCAGGGTCTTTTCCAATGAGTCAACTCTTCACATGAGGTGGCCAAACTATTGGAGTTTCAGCTTCAGCATCAGTCCTTCCAAGGAACACCTAGGACTGATCTCCTTTAGGATGGACTGGTTGGATCTCCTTGAAGTCCAAGGGACTCTCAAGAGTCTTCTCCAACACCACAGTTCAAAAGCATCAATTCTTCGGCACTCAGCTTTCCTCACAGTCCAACTCTCACATCCATACATGACCACTGGAAAAACCATAGCCTTGACTAGACGGACCTTTGTTGGCAAAGTAATGTCTCTGCTTTTTAATATGCTATCTAGGTTGGTCACAACTTTCCTTCCAAGGAGTAAGCGTCTTTTAATTTCATGGCTGCAATCACCATCTACAGTGCTTTTGGAGCCCAAAAAAATAAAGTCTGACACTGTTTCCACTGTTTCCCCATCTATTTCCCATGAAGTGATGGGACCAGATGCCATGATCTTAGTTTTCTGAATGTTGAGCTTTAAGCCAACTTTTTCATTCTCCTCTTTCACTTTCATCAACAGGCTTTTTAGTTCTTCTTCACTTTCTGCCATAAGGGTGGCATCATCTGTATATCTGAGGTTATTGATATTTCTCCTGGCAATCTTAATTCCAGCTTGTGCTTCTTCCAGCCCAGCATTTCTCATGATGTACTCTGCATATAAGCTAAATAAGCAGGGTGACAATATACAGCCTTGACATATTCCTTTTCCTATTTGGAACTAGTTTGTTGTTCCATGTCCAGTTCTAACTGTTGCTTCCTGACCTGCATATAGGTTTCTCAAGAGGCAGGTAGGGTGGTCTGGTATTCCCATCTCTTTCAGAATTTTCCACAGTTTATTGTGATCCACACAGTCAAAAGCTTTGTAATAGTCAATAAAGCAGAAATAGATGTTTTTCTGGAACTCTCTTGCTTTTTTGATGATCCAGCAGATGTTGGCAATTTGATCTCTGGTTCCTCTGCCTTGTCTGAAACCAGCCTGAACATCTGGAGGTTCACGGTTCACGTATTGCTGAAGTCTGACTTGGAAAATTTTGAGCATTACTTTACTAGCATGTGAGATGAGTGCAATTGTGCGGTAGTTTGAGCATTCTTTGGCATTGCCTTTCTTTGGGATTGGAATGAAAACTGACCTTTTCCAGTCCTGTGGCAATCCCTTATGATTATACAGTGGAAGTGAGAAATAAATTTAAGGAACTAGATCTGATAGAGTGCCTGATGAACTATGGACAGAGGTTCATGACATTGTACAGGAGACAGGGATCAAGACCATCCCCATGGAAAAAAAATGCAAAAAAGCAAAATGGCTGTCTGAGGAGGCCTTACAAATAGCTGTGAAAAGAAAAGAAGCGAAAAGCAAAGGAGAAAAGGAAAGATATTCCCATTTGAATGCAGAGTTCCAAAGAATAGCCAGGAGACATAAGAAAGCCTTCCTCAGCAATCAATGCAAAGAAATAGAGGAAAACAACAGAATGGGAAAGACTAGAGATCTCTTCAAGAAAATTAGAGATACCAAGGGAACATTTTATGCAAAGATGGATTCGATAAAGGACAGAAATGGTATGAACCTAACAGAAGCAGAAGATATTAAGAAAAGGTGGCAAGAATACACAGAAGAACTGTACAAAAAAGATCTTCACGACCCAGATAATCACAATGGTGTGATCACTCACCCAGAGCCAGATATCCTGGAATGTGAAGTCAAGTGAACCTTAGAAAGCATCACTGGGAACAAAGATAGTGGAGGTGATGAAATTCCACTTGAGCTATTTCAAATCCTAAAAGATGATGCTGTGAAAGGGCTGCAATCAATATACCAGCAAATTTGGAACACTCAGCAGTGTGTTCCCTGCTGCTGCTGCTGCTGCTGCTAAGTCGCTTCAGTAGTGTCCAACTCTGTGCGACCCCATAGATGGCAGCTCATGTCCGACTCTGTGCGACCCCATAGATGGCAGCCCACCAGGCTCCTCTGCCCATGGGATTTTTCAGGCAAGAGTACTGGAGTGGGTTGCCATTGCCTTCTCCGAGTGTGTTCCCTAGGCCCCTACAAATGCCCCACAGAAATCCTTACTCCAACCACCCCCCTAAACATACATACACATCAGGAGAAACAATTAAGAACATTCACACCAGTGCTGATTCTAGTAGCAAAAAATTGGAAGTAACCCAAATGTCCCTAAATAAGTGCAATGAAAAATTAATTGTGGTATTTTCATATGATGGAATTCTATACCAGAGTGAAAATGACTGATATCCCATGACTGAACCTCAGGACCCCTAATCTAATCATGGCTGGGATACAAGCAAGCTGCAGAAGACTGCAAGCAATACCCTTCCTTCTCTTTAAAATCCCAAATGGTAAGACACTATACAATACTTATCGCATGATGACATAAACATTTGGCAGGACTATAAAGGAAAAAAGGGCATGATAAGCATAACATTCAGGATAGTATTTAGAAGAAGAAAAGGTGAAGGTGAGAAGGGCCACAAAGAGGATTTTAAAGAGCCTCCTTCCATGTCTAGGAGAGGTAAGTAGGTACCAGGTGGTTTATTGTATCATGGGTTTTTAAAAATTATTTATATATATTGTATCCTGGAGAAGGACATGACAACCCACTCCAGTATTTTTGTCTGGAGAATCCCATGGACAGAGGAGCCTGGCAGGCTGCAGTCCATGGGGTCGCACAGAGTCGGACACGACTGAATGACTGAGCACACACATATATATTATATAACTACTATTTTATATTTAACCAATATTTAATAAAAACAATTCTAAAGCATGAGACTTGGGACTTCCCTGGTGGTCCCAAGTGGTTAAGAATCTGCCTGCCAATGCAGGGGGCACAGGTTTGATTCCTGGTCTGGGAAGATCCCACATGTTGCATAGCAACTAAATCCGTGGGCTGCAACTACTGAAGTCTGCATGTGCTATGGCGTACCTCAATGAACAGTAGACCCTGCTCGCCACAACTAGAGAAAGCCTGTGTGTAGCAGTGAAGCAGCCATAAATACATTAAAAAAATTTTTTTAAAGATAACAAAGTTTTAAATAACAAGGCCTAGACCAATGTGAACAGTGTGCTACCATTTGTATAAAAGAGGAGACACACACACTCATGCACATGTGCGCATACACCAACATGAAAACACCTCTGGAAGGTTACACACATAATCAGTAAAATCAGTGGCTTCTGGGAGGGGAACAAGGAGGCTGGGGACAAGATGGGAGACTTTCCTGAAGATTTAAAATTTTGAATCACATATGTCGATTGGAGTTAAAAATAATAAGTAATAATAAAATGTGAAGAAAGACAGAGGAGACAGGGAGGGGAGGGAGAAAGGGAAGGGAGGAGGGACAGGGGCAGGAGGAGGAATGAATGGCAGGGCTCTGGTGGCCAGAACCTTCCGAAGCCTTGCGGGCATGCCCAAATCTCCAGCAGAGCCAGAAGCCCTGCCCAACAGCCCAGGGAGGCCCGAGTCCTCATACCCTAGCTTGGCCTACACCCCAACACGCTCTGCACCTAAAAACAGGGCTGGCCTCCATGATTGCCCACATCAACTCGGCTCTGCAATCTTTTGTTTCCAGAGCTCTGTTTCCAAACAAGATTCCCTCCCCGAGTCTCTCCCCCTGACCCTGCGGTCTTATCTCAGACCTTCGGTCACCTGTGATCTGAGAAATTCCTCTGAAGTCACTTCCATGAGCCTTCATCCTGGTTGGCTCTGAAGTGTGCGTCTGTGTCACCAAGGTCAGCCAGAAACAAACGGGCCCTTTTCATCCCCTCTTTCATCCCCTTCTCAAGGACTCAGTGTCCTTTGCCTACCGCCTCATTGAGACCTGCTCGCAATTCTTTATTATACTAGAATACCAATAACTCAGAGAAAACCAGGGTCACAGGCGTCCCCAAGGATCACGGCCTTGAGAGGTAAAGGCATGAAGTGCTAATGGAGCTTCAGACATCAGCCATTGCGGGGAAGGAAGGATTTGGATGCAGTGTGCCCAGGCTGCCTTCTGCCCTGCTTGTACACGGGATGCCTGAGGGGTGAAGTACTGGTGGTGTGGGTCTGTAGGAGACAGGCTCAGGCCCCCAGAGCCCAGTGGCCAGGGATGAGGATGGGGCGGCCAGGGAGGATTGTGTGACTCTGAACCAAGAAGGTCCTTATTCCCCAAAGAGCTAGTGCAGGGATCTGTGTGACTCTGTAGTACAGGTGGATGCTAACAGAAGGCTGGGCCACGCAGGACAGGATTAGCTCTCCCACTTTACCCATCCCCGCAGAGAGGGATTCTGCGGTTGCAAACACCTTAGCTATTCATACCTCTGCCTTGGAAGCAAGGTAGTATCAAAGGAAGAAGCCAGGCTGTATGATGGCACTCGGCGGAAGCAGGTTCAGCAAGCAGGTCTAGCGCCAACGTCGTGGGCTGACAACACGAGTGTTGGTGACAACATGGAGCACCTAGATTCGCCTGCACAGCTATGGGAGTGTAATCACCCAACCAACGGAAAACTGGTAGAACCTTCTAAAGCTAGCAATTCTACTCCTGGGGATTTTCTGAAGAGAAATGAGCACTGTGTCTACCAAAAGACCTATACGAGAGTGTTCATAGCAGTGTTACTGACAGCTCAACATGGAAGCAACCCAAAGTCCACCAGCGGGAGAATGGATAAACACAGCGTGGTGCTTTTGTGCAACAGAATATTACCCCAAACAAGTGCAGCTACATGCATAACACGGACAGAACCCAGAGGCCTGATGCTGAATGAGAGGAGCCAGACACAAGAGCACACACTGCATGATCCCATTTTATGAAGTTCTTGAACAGGCAACACTGATCTCTGCTGTGGAGTCCTGGAGAGTAGTTACCCTTGGCTGGGGGATTGGGCAGATATTGACTGGGATGGAACATGAGGAACTTTCTGGGAGGAAATGTTCTGTACTTGGGCCCTCTGGACTGTGAAGCTGGGATGGGTGGGTAGACTCTCCTCAGGGCCCCTAATTAACCCACACTCTCACCATCAATGTTACTCCGTAAACTATCTCTATGCCCCCTCAAAGGGGCCAATATAAAGAAGGAAGAGGAAGGAACTCAGCCATTGCTTCAGAAGTGAGAGGAGTTAGACTGAAACCACTTCCAACCAGCCTTATAGGTGCCAAGGAATATGAGGAAATGTTCTATATTTTAAAATCTATGGTTAAATCTGTGGCTTCATGGATGGAAACAAATATAAAAACTCAGAGATTAAAGTTTGTGTATCTCAATTACTGTATGTAAAGTTATATCAAGAATAACAAAAATATTCTTGGTCTGAAGTGCCACTGTTCTGGCCCCCTGACCTGACTAGCCGCAGGGTGTGTCCACCTTGGAATGACCTTTCATGTCAGGGGCTGGTGCTGCACCAGCGAGCAGAAAGAGGGAACATCTCAGGCTGGAGAGGAAAATATATGGCCATTTGCGGGCCACCTCGCTCATAGGTGTTTGAACATGGGGTGGAATTTGGTCTAGGACTGATTTCCATAGAAACGTACCCCAATAAGAAGGTTCTTGGGATGGAGAACTATAGCTCTCATTCAGTTTCAATTGTTAGAGTCTACAGATATCTTAGCAAAATAAAGGGAACAAGCAAACATTAACAGGCAATGGTTGGCATAAGCCAGCTCATGATACTGAGCACGAGAGGGTAAGTTAAATTTTGGCAGAAAAGTTGTTGGGCCTTGTGTTCCAATCATGCTGAGCACTTCTGCAGTGACTGCAGACAGCTACCAGCTGACTTCCCAGCTACCCAATACAAGAAACTAAAATACATGCTCTATCTATGGGGAAAAACAAAATGAGACTATAAGGGAATTACATTAAAATGGTGGAAATGGTTCTTTCTGGGTGGTTAAATAGTCTTACTTTCTCATTTGTACTTATAAAAAAAATTTTTTCCCCAAATTAGATAGCAATGAACAATCTTATATTCTTTTGTGACCAGTTCAAATAAAATCCTTCATGGGTCCTCTGGACTGTGAAGCTGGGATGGGTGGGGAGACTCTTCTTAGGGCCCCTGTGCAGCCCGCACTCTCACCCACCAGGAGCCTTCAGTGTTACATCCCCAAACCATCTCTATGCCCCCTCAAAGGGGCCAATATAAAGAAGAAAGGAAGAGGAAGGAACTCAACTATTGCTTCAGAAGTGAGGGGAGTTAGACTGAAACCACTTCCAACCAGACTTACAGGTGCCAAGCAAAGGATACACATGTTCTTTGAAACATTAACAACGTTTCTGAAATTTTGGGGACAACTGCCTTTTTCTATGTCATGTAGCCTGTGAGTCCTGGCCCTCTTAAGAATATTAAAATTGTAGACAATACTAAAATATAGTATAGCATGCTATATATATATATATATATATATATATATATATATATATATATATATATAATTTTTCCCTCTTCACTCTTTAAGGGAAAGGACAACAGAAGGGAATCCTCAAGTGCCAAGGTCAAGTCGGATCCCCCCTCCAGCTCTGGCCCAAACACATATCTCTTGGGCCCCTCTTCCCCACCATACAGTGAGGTGGAAACTTCTTCCTCATCTCTTGGAGAAACCATTTTGCTCCTCCAAAGACCTCCTCCCCTTGTCCTGGTAAAGGCCAGACTGGCTGCAGTTGGCAGGACCAGAGGTTCACACTCCTTGCCCTGCAGACACCGAGGACAGCCTGCACAGCCAGGGGCAGACGAGACCCCCCTACATTCCTGTCCCAGAGCCCAGCAGTCCTACCCCCTCTTCTCTTAAAGTCAAAGCTCACAGCCTGGCCAGGTCGGGAGAGCCTGACAGGCAAACTCACACTCAAGAGTTAATGGCAACTGTGACATTAAAGATAGTGACCAAGCTGACCAGGGTCTTGGCAAATGCTTTTACTGTTTTTTAACTTGTTAGGAAAGAAGAAATTCTCTTCCTAGTCAGAGGGCCCTCACAAGCTCCAGTATCGTATTTCAGATTTGAGGCTATGAATTTTAATCATAGCATTTATAAAAATAAATCAAGGAAACTTCTACGCACCTCAAGGGCTCTGAGTACGTGGGCATGAAGAGAGTAGAAAGTGCTAGTTTCTTAGCACTGCCTTTTCCTGCTCTGCGATGCTGAGCACGCCTGACTTGCCCCTCTCTGTGAAATGAGTTGTTGAGGGGTGGTGGTTGGGGGTGTGTGGGTAGATGACTCTTAGGACTCAACACTGTCTGCATGAGGCCCTCCTTGGGGACTGGACCCCTCTGAAGGCACTGTCGCCAACCTGTCCCCCAGCCTCAGTCTCTAGATACAAGGGGCTTTTCTTAGCTCTGTCCTCCCCACTCTCTCCTTAACCATTCTTAACTACCCTGATGGGCTTCAGTGGCCACACATTTCTATCATCTGCTCTTATGTTCCTCTGGAACTCCCAAGTCCAGTTCCACTTGTTTACTGGGGGCTTTTCTCAATGTCCCACAGGCAACATAAACTGATCAAAACCTACTCTTCCTTCCTCCTCACCCACAAACCCACTGCTGGTCACTCCAGCCACACAATGACCCTGCATAACACTCTTTTTTGACTCTGATTATCAGTCTAATTAGCCGCCAAGTTTTAATCAAGTTTCCTCCCTATTCGAATCTTTCAATGGCTGCTGTCACCTACCATGTACTACTGCCACACCATGGCTTCGGGGTCCTCTATTACATCAGTCTCAGAGAGGCTCAGAGAGGTCCAGCACCATGCCTGAGATCACACAGCAAGTCAGTGACAAGGCTGTTAATCCCCACACACTGCCTCACTCCGTAAATGGCCTCTACCCAAAGGGGATGGCAGTTATTGGAGCTGGAATACACACCAAACCTCCCAGAGGTCACCATTTAAGTTGCTTCATCTGTTTACAATGACTTCCTTTTTATCCCCCTCTGCTAAAATCCTACTCATCTGGTCATTTTTATTTGCCTATGTTTTACAGGGTGAGTTTATAATTTCTCTCTAAATTGCTTTTGTAATTCAAAATAAAAATTTATGTATAAGTATTTTTAACCCCATTTTTCAAGGGTTAATTGTTTCATTCTTCTGGAACCTTTTTTAGAGTTGTCTGCAACATTTATAAAGCAGGTTGCTAGCATCCTGCACACTAACATGTAATACAAGGGCTATCAGTTTATTAGAGCTATTTTGTTAATGTTATACCAGAGTGAGAACCTTTATACTTTGGTGACTTCAATGATAAGAATTTCCAAAGCCCTGTGGAGGAGGTGACTCCTGTATCCTCCAGCCACACACTGAGACATGTAACTCCCAGCCAAGCAGAGCAGCCAGGCAGAACCAGAGGGAAAAACTATCCTAGGCCCAACAACAGATCAGGTGGCCCCAAGGAATTCTCCTGTTTCTGCTCAAGACTGCTTTCCAGAAATGTTGGAGCCAGAGCCACAGAGAGGAGAAGGAGGTACAGAACAGGCCAGCATAGCCAGATCCTTGTTCCAGGATTCTGCCATCATTTCTTGGCTGGCTGATCTTGGACAAGTCTTTTAATTGTGCTGGTCTGTTTCCTTGTATGCAAAATGAAGACTGGGTAAGCGCAAGGTTCCCTTCTAGTTGTAAAAGTAACCAGGATCATGCTCTGCCTCTAGAAGGGGGACAGCAACAAAGACAAAGGAGGTGGGGACAGCCTAGTTTCCAATTCTGCAAGCCTGGTGAACAGGTACCTGATTTGTCCAAAGGGCCATTTCTCCTGCTGGACAAGGAGCACCATGCTCCTGAAGGAAGGTGGCCACAGGGCAGCTGAGGTGTGGGAGGCAGGCTGGACCTTCCACAACTCCCAGAAGGCAGCGCTGCTGGGGAGGAAAACATCAGAAACCGTCCTCACACCTCTTCCAGGGGTCTGAGAGACAGACAAGCAGGCAGACAGAGCACGCTCCAGCTGGGAGTCTGCAACGGCTAGGCAACCCCATTCTCAATGCAACCACTGATGGCCCTGGCCTCCTGAGGAGCGAGAGGGCTGCAGAGATTAGGAGGAGAAGGGCAGGCCCCACCGACAACCATATACACACACAGCGGCTGCTGCCCATTAGAACATTTATTTCTCAGAGAGAAAATAAGTTTAAGACAGTCATATTATAGTAGGTAAAATTAACTTCTGTATTCTTTACAAGCATAGAGTTTTCTCTGTTTATTACCTCTCTTATACCATCTGTTATAAACAATTCTAGAAAGCAAATAAAGTTACTTTCTACAATAAATAGAGCATCGTGTGCTTCACAGCAGACGCGACTGAGACACGTAGGCCCCATGCCACAGCAGGATCTGAGCCGTTTCCCGTTCTAAAAGAGCAGTTTTAAAAATGAGACTCAGAGACGGAAAGATTCAGAGAGACTGAGAAAAAGAAAAAGACAGACAGACTAAGAGAAAGTGTTGGGAGGAAGAGATACACAGAAAGAGAAAGCCCCAAGATCTTACAACACAGGTTGAGACAAGGGTCACAGAGTCCACAGCCGACCGACTACCTGGGGAGGGGGGACGCATTGGCTCCTTTAAATAAAACACATGGTGTGCACTTAAAATACTCAGCCACACAATGGAGGACTCCAGTAATGGAAACTATAGGCCTGAATAATTTAGAACAGTATTTTACAATTATATACACTATGTCCTTCCCTAGCTGTAGGCATTGTAGTTTTATTATTGTACAAAATCCAAAACCCCGTCCTTTATTATGTTATAGAGAGTTTTGTTGGTTCCCTTTTAAACTCTGGCTCGTGTCCCAAGTGTATAAGAAGTCGTGGCGGTTGGTTGGTTGTATTTTTAAAAAGTCAAGTGCGTAAAAATGGCAGTGATCTCCCCAGTGACTTCGTTTTGTCCAAAACTCCCCTATGAAAAATTTAAAACAATTAAAAAGAACGTCAGGTTAAAAATCAACATGGCGATCAGTGGCCGGCAACCTGGCCCTGCAACTTTGGTGCTTAAGAGGTGAAAAGAAACATCAGAGAACAGACATCGAAGCCTCTGAAAGTTGTGTTGGTTTATCAGTCAGCATTCCCCCGTTTCACAGTTTTTGTTTTTTTCCCTTCTGTTTTTGAGAAGGTAAAGGTGGAGAGGGGGTTGAAGGAACAGCGAGGAGGGGACAGCAGGTCTGAAAGAAAAGTGCTGCGCTCCCTGGAGTTCGCAGCAGCAGAGGCTGAGCAGGGCAGAGCACAGGACAGGAAGATGCTGGACTACAGGGCCCTCGCCGTCCCTGGTGGTAATGAGAGCCTAGAGACTGCAGGGACAGAAAATGAAAACCCGTGAGGAGGCTAGGAGGAGGAAAAGAGCAGACCCGGCAAAGGGCACAGCTTCACCCCAACAGCCTGCAGAATCCACGTGGACAGATGGCCACGGGCACCAGAAGCCTGGTCTGCTGACAGGAGCCCGCCCAGCCTGAGCCCACCTCTTTGCAAGGCACAGGCCCGAGGGCCCCGCCTCAATCCAAGGGGGCAGCTCTCACAGTCTGGCCTCTGCTGTTTGCCTGCAGCACATACAAGGGGGCGGGGAGGTGTGCTGGTGAAGGGGTCACCCAAGTGGTAGTTAGCAGCTGGCCTCAAAGGGAATGAGACATAAAAAGAATAAGATCAGTTTGGTGATGGTTTCTGTCAGTTTGGCACAAGAGAAAGCTGGGAAAGGAACACAGGAGAAAGAGAGGCTGGGCAGAGGTGCAGAAGATGGTTCAGGGAAGAGGTGGGAGGAGGGGTGATGGAGGGAGAGAGGGTGAGCTCCGTGAGATTCCCGCAGGACCCGAGTGTATCCTCAGCACCTCTGGGGTCAGTGTTCGAGCCTCGCTCACCCTGAGGTGTAGTTAGTTGGGAGTGGGTTGGAGGGCACCAGGCACAGCCTTGAGCAAGCCCAAGACCTCTTGCTTTCCAGGGCCAGGTTTATCTCCGTGGCTGTGCCCAAACCTCACAGCTGTTTCAACTGGTTCTTCAGTGGACCAGCCCCGGGGGAGCTTGGGTGGGAGTTTTTGGCACAGCAGGCCCACCAGGGGAACCACGCAGTTAGTCAAAACTGGGGCCTTGCCCATGGGGAGGACACAGCCCAGTGCCTGGCCTGCCATGGGAGGGGGAAGCAGCCAGCCGTATGCCTGGCTGGGGCCAGAAGAGGCTGCTCTGTGCCCTGCAGGACGGAGGCAGGGCGGGCCCCTCCCTTACAGGTAGCTGGAGGTGACGAAGGAGTGGGGCCCCCGCACTCGGCTCAGGTGGATCATCGCACGGTCGTAGGCCACCTGCACTGACTTGCGGATGCTGGTCTTGCGGCCTTCTAGCATCTTGAGCTTGTCCACAGTGTCTTCCACACCCAGGGGCAGGACTTTGTCCCTCGGAAGCCACTGCCTAAAATATAAGCATAGTAAGAGGCCTGGACCATGGTGGGTCCCACAGGAGGCTCCTCTGGACCCACTTGCCCATGACCAGCCAAGCCAGGTGGAGGGGACAGGGAGAGGGAGGCAGACTGGGATGCTGCAGGCAGGAGGCCACGAAGGGACTTATTTTGTAGCCAGGCCCTTACCTGGGCCCCAGGACACTCGGCTTACAAGGTCACCGGAAGGAAGCCCATGTGCCCCCTGGAGGGCTCTGAGCCTCACCCTGCCTTGGAGAGTCAGGGAGCTTTGTCAAGGAAGTGGAGCTGATGCTAGGAATCAGTGGAATGATTTCTGGTGGGGCCTACACCTGGTTTTTTTAAAAGATCCCTGGGTGAGTTGAACATATGGCTGAGAGACCAGCCTCTGGAGCTAGATCCTGGTTTGTATCCCAGTTCTAGCTATAGGTTCTTGGCTTTCTGAGCCTTGGCTTTCTAAGCCTCAGCTTTCTCAGCTGCAAAATGGATTGGGAGGGGATTAATGAAGATTTAAATGAGGATCAAATGAAACCACTCATGTAAAGCAATCTGCATAAGGACATGGAGTAAATGCTCAATAGATAATAGTTATTAGCTAGTCCTGCCTCCCCACTCTACAGAAGCAGGGGTGAAGGAATCCTCCTGCTGGCCTTTATAAAGCATGAGCAGACAAGCCCCTTGGAGTGCGTTCTGCACTTCCCACAAATCCCCACTCACCCAGGACTGAGACACGCATTCCCGCAGCCGCTGGGAGCAGCGGCAGATTATAGGCTCTCAAGTGAGTCTCTCTCCAGGAATCACCCCCACTAAGGACAGCCAGCACTCAAGGCTGGGTTGACGCTCGGGTACAGGGGCACAGCCCCCGTTTCTGACATCTCTAGTGAGCTCAAACAGGATCAGTTGTGGCCCCTGCAGCAAGTACACTGCAGTTCCAACTGCCTCCTCTGCCTAGGGCTGCACCCCTTACCCTTCACCCCCACAGCTTTCCCAAGAAGCCTCCTAACACAAATCTCCATCTCAGAGTGCTTCTCAGAGACTCTGATCTACCAAACCGCTCAGTTACCATTAACACAATTCAGTACTGTTATTCCTAACACTAAATTACTACTATCATGGCAAAGGCAGACTAGCTGCTGGCAGCTAACCTTTCACCTTCAACTGAGCACAGAGGCAGAGTGGCTGAGTCCACAGCCCTGTGTACCCCCAGCACGTCAGCATTAGAACAGCATCACTGTTCTAACAGTCGGGCTCCCCAGCCTGCATCCTGGCGCACGCTCCCAGCAGCAGCACGCACTCACCAGGTGCGCTTGTTGTCAAAGAAGAGGACAAGGAAGAGCTTCTCTCCAGCCTCGGCCTGTTTCTGCTCGCCAAGCTTCAGCACATCCAGTGGGGGAACGGGGATGGGGACACCATTGTGCAGGAGGCCCTCCCGGGGCATCTTGGGGTCGATGATCTGGAAGCAGAGGGGAGAGGAGTCAGCAAGGGGCGGACGGGGTGAACTGCCCTCTGCGGCGGGACTAAGCACTGAGCCACCCTACAACAGAGCTATGTAGCGGACTGACCCTGCCTGACTGTGTTGGAGGGGCTGACCTCTTCCAATGACCCTCAGTACCCCAAACATAAATCTTGACTCTGTTTCCCCAGACACCGTTCTAATCCTTCGGCTCTTTCCAATAAGACCTTCCAGTAAGAAAGCTTGCTCCATCAACTGTCAGGCCCAAAGCTGAAAGAGAAGCTCTGGGAAGCCAGGGGATTGTCAGAAGTGAGTGGACTGTCTCTGATGTCCAGGCCAGATAGATAAACGCGTTCCTCCCAGTGTCCCTTAGAGGAGAGGAATAAAGGCCATTTCCCTGCCAATTTCCCTTTAGAACCTGTATAATTCATTTCAAACTCTCAGGGGCATTCCTAGACACCATGGCTGTGGAAAAGGTTTTGCCTCAGCTAGAGGGCCCACCCCTCGGTTTCACCTAAACATATCTTCTGGTTACCCACGACCTTCCTGTCTATTATCCTTCCTGGGGTGTAGACCAGATACAATTTTAACATCCCATGGTGAGGTCAGAGAAAAGCCAAGAGACTGAGCTTGGAGGGCTGCTGGAGAGGGGAGAATGATGTGGTTGGAAACAAAGGCCACTGGAAGAATCAGTCCTTGAGGCTGCATGCTCCACAGGGGAAGGGGCTCAGCAAAATGCCTGGTGGCATCAACACAACATAACTCACCAGTGCTACGAAGTACTGACACCATTACTGAAGCTCCTAATTAGTCACATATCATCTTATTTCATTCTCTTGCTAATGCTGAGAAGTCTGCTGACAAGTATTAGCCTACAGAGGAAAATGCCAAGCACAGAAGGATGCAGCTTGCTGGGACAAAAACCACGCACCTGGACTTGAGGCTCGACTGCCCACTGCCTCTTGCACAGCCCTTGCTTCCAGAAGACCTGGCTGATAAAGTCTCTCTGCACCAAGGCCAGGGAGACTTGGAAACTTACTGAGGAAGCAGCTTTCCCCAGAGATGGAAAAATTGTAATTCCTATACCCTGTCCCAGGGGGCCTCTTCTCGTAATAATAAATTGCTCTATTTACTTCTGGGTGTCTGCCAGCTTCCTTACATCCATCTCAAGATAAGCAGCTAAAAGCAGGTGCTCTGGTTAAGAGTTTACTCTAAGGAAGAACCACCCCTACCCTGCCCCCAGCTGTATGATTTGATAAAAACTCTAACTCCCAGCCTGTCTGTCCCTCCTGGGACTGATGCTAAAGGTCCTAATGGGAACCACCAGACAGGCTCTCCTGAGCTTCCTCAATCACCAACAGTGGGGCTAGTGCCTGGCTGGGAAAGTGGGGGCAGACTGTGAAAAATGTCCCCCCCAAGGGCAGAAAGAAGATGGGAAAGTCTCCCTCTTAAGGAGAGGTCGCCTCCCTTTTTAAAGAAGACAGAGGCAAATGTACTCCAAATAATGGGCCACACTCACTCAAATGTTATGCAGATGTAAAATAACATGGAAATAAAGTTTATGATAACATTTAATATATTACATAATAAATGTGTACACCCACTATTGTTATAGCTATAATATATACACAATAAATAGAAGGAACAATACAAAATGCTTACAGATGATATGTCAGGATGCTGGAGGTTTGTGTTGATTGTCTATACAAGCTTCTATAACATAGATATGTAATTTTTACAGAAAAACTTTTTTTAAAGAACAGGAGCTCCAGAAAATTAAAAACCATAGTCACTATATGTGCAAGTACATATTTAAGTATGTAGAGGAAAATGACTGGAAGAGTATAAACCAAAATAAAAAACAGAGGCTGTGTTCAGGTGGTGGGGATTTCAGGTGGTGGCTGAATTTCTTTAATTGCAAAAGAAAATTATAATTAAGAAGATAATTAAAAAGGAAAAAAAGAGACTAGTTTTAGATCGACTTTTTTGTACTGGGAGATTTAAAAAGACAAAACCAAACCTGCATAGCCTTAACCACTTCTTCAACAACTAACCTGGGGGTCTCACCGAGAGCAGAGCCTGTGAAGGCAGCCCCAGGCCCAACCTCCCCGGCGCTGGATCACAGTGTGGATTTCCCACCTGCCTCTGCTAAGGAGAGGGGAGGCTGGCAGCATGGGTTCCGATATGACTCCAGCAAGTGGTATAACATCCGGGAGCTACAGTTTCCTCACAAGCAAGAAAAAGATCAGAGTTCTTGCACTCGTTACCTGAAGAGGCTGCTGTGAGAGCAGAAAAAGCCACAGACAGATGAGCAAGGAGCAGCTCAGAGCCCTGGGTGCACATAAGGCTGGCAGGGCGGTTCTCAGCCCCCGCTACAGACCACCAGGCAAGTTTTTAAAAAAATATTCATGCTTGGGTCTGATTTCAGAGTCTAATATGGTACTTCTGAGATGGGGTCTCAGTATCTGCATCGTTTAAAAAATTCCCCGAGATGATTCTACTATGTTTCAAAGGTTAGAATCAGTATTTACCAGATGGACATCTGGTATTTGCATTGTTTAAAAAATTCCCCGAGATGATTCTACTATGTCTCAAAGGTTAGAATCAGTATTTACCAGATGGACATGACCTTCCCAATCAAGGTGGTAAAAATAGAATTTTTAGCTACTATTGGTGGGAGAATAAACTGGAAAGTGAAAGTGTTAGTCGCTCAGCTGTATCCGACTCTTTGTGACCCCATGGACTGTAGTCCACCAGACTGCTCCTGTTCATGAGATTCTCCAAGCAAGAATACTGGAGTTGGGTAGCCATTCCCTTCTCCAGGGTATTGAATCTGGGTCCCCTGCATTTAGGCAGATTCTTTGCTGAGTCACCAGGGAAGCCCCATATAAACTGGGATTGCCCCTAACTTTCTAAGGGGCAACTTGGCAATTTGTATCAGAATTCTGCATATGCCCCAAAGAAGACATTTCTAAGACTTCTTCACTGTAAAGAAATAATCATAGATGTGCACAAATGTTAAACTACAATGAAGCTTACCACTGGTTGTTTGTCATAGTGAAACATTCAAACTGATCTAAATAAGGTATACGCATACAACTGAAGATGACACAGCCATGAAAGTGATGCCGATAAAGAATGTTTGATGGCATGAGACACGTGTGCTCATGGTGTGCTGTTAAATAAAGGGACGGTTAAACAGCACATGGTCTAATATTTATGCATTAAACAACAACAACAACAAAAAACAGGGCTGAGGGTATACATCAAGAGGTAATCTCTGAACAGATGGGACTGTGGGTGATTTTGAACTCAGTGGCTCAAAACACAGGCTTTGATATCACACACTGTCAAATTCCAACCCTGCCACTTAAAGCTAGATGACCATGGGTAACAGATCTTCAGTGCTTTCCCCTAAAAATGAGAATAATCATACCTTTCTCCATATTTCAAGGACTTAGCATGAAAGACATTTAGCCAAACATCTAAGCATTATTAGCAGATTTTATAATTCTCTACAATGAGCACATATAACTTTTATGCATAATAATAATTTTTCCATTTAGCAAATAAATATACTCTATTAAAATCCTAAGAGCCCTAGCCTCTGTCTGCATACTGTAACCTATTTTAAGTGCCCTAAGCCTAGCTGGTGTGACCCACCCAGGCTGGGATAAAACCTCCCTCCCTTCTGCAGCTAAAGGCACCCTGACTCCCAACCACACTCTGCTGGCTTGATCCAATCAGATAAGCTCTTGAGGCAAGGTAGGGGCCAGAACCCCCCCAGGGGAGGGAGAATGGAAGGGCAGACTCACCAAGGCAGGGTAGGAGGGGTAACCTCGGCACTTGGCCCACACCAGCTCCAGGGGCTCCAGGTCTTCACGGTCTTCAAAGGGCATCAGGAGGCTTCTGCCTGGGGGTGGGGGAGGGGAGGAGACAGGGGGACTTGGAACAGTGCCCAGGAGGCCTGCCCCGGGCCTCCATTTGACTGGAGCAGCCCAGGAATGAGTCAAAAACATCCCCTCCACCCTTCCTTTTCCCTACCCTCTCCTGAGTTCTTAAGACTAGATTAGGGATCAGCAAACTTGTTCTTTAAAAGGTCAAATAGTACATATTTTAGGTTTTATGTGCTATATGTCTCCACTGCATCTACTCAACTCTGCTGTTGTATCATGAAAGCAGTCACAGGCAATTCCTAAATGAATGAGCATTGCTGTGTCCCCATAAAACAATTTCTGGACACGGAAATTTGAATTTTGCATACATTTTTGTATTACAAAATATTAATATCATTCTTCTTTTGATCTTCAATCATTTGAAAAAAATGTAAAAACCACTCTTACCTCACGAAAGTGAAAGTGTTAGTCACTCAGTCTCGTCTAACTCTGCAACTCCAAGAACTGTAGCCCACCAGACTCCTCTGTCCATAGAAGTCTCCAGGCAAGAATACTTGAGTGGGTTGCCATTTCCTTCTCCAGGGAATCTTCCCGACCCAGAGATTGAACCTGGGTCTCCCGCATTGCAGGCAGATTTTTACCAAGTGAGCCAACAGGCAACAGGTTACAGTTTGCTGACCTCTAAACTAGAACCCTACCTAGGTTGATGTTCCTTGAAAAAATATAACTGTTTCATTACCAGGAATACAGACTATATGGCAGCTTGGCAAAGCCACAGACTGCTCTCTGGGCCTCCCTGACTTGTGGGCCTCTGGAAGGCAGCTTCATGGAAAAAGACGCCTGGGACAAATATCCCAGAAAACGACCTGCTAACTGAGTTCCTCTCTGGCAGGGCCACACCTGGCTCCAGGTCCCTTGCTGCAGAGCACTCAGCAGAGGTTCTCTCTGCGCCTGTTTTCTCAGAGTCTCACACGGGCCCTGGGGCAGACACAGGTCTTCAGCTTTCTCTGTTCTGCACCTAACGCACTAGCACACATGGTGGGTCCTTCACAAACATCTCTGAACACGAAGAGGAACCTCCCTTCCCCTTCCCAGCCTATAAACTAGCAACAGTGAGGGGACCACACTCGACTAAGGAAAAACGCCCAAATTCCACAGAGTAGAAATTATGTTCCTAAGGAAACATTACCTCCCATGTTTATAATTTTTTTAAAAATGTATCACTGGTAATGAGGTCTTGTTTTCTACCTACTGAATCAATAGCAATAACCACAAAAAGATAAAATCCAGTATGACTGAAGAGGCAGGCTGTGGGGACACTGGTGCAATCATATACTGCTGAGGAAACTGCAGACCAGTCTAATCCTTTCACAATATAATCTGGTGGCAAGTCTCAAGAGCCATAAAAAAAAGTATGAACCATCTGTTCCAGTAAATGCTTTCCCTGGGAATTTATTCTTAGAAAAATAACTTCTAAAATGACTGAGAGGCATTTGGACAAAAATATGGGTTCACTGCATTATGTATAGTGTTAAAAGTTGGAAATAACCAAATGTCTAATGAAACAAGTAAGTAAATTATAATGCATTGACTGGAAGGTTAACATTGAAAAAAGCAATATATGAAAGAACATAAGTTCTGCTTTAGCATTCTGTTAAAAATGTGCCTGAAATAAATGGAAGGCAATGTAGAGAAATGAAGACAATGGTGTTAAGGTGATGGAACAGTGAAAGGTTGGTTTCCTTTTTAAATCTCCTTTGGCATCATTTTAATAATTACATGGTTCTTAAAGTAAGAATAAAATGTCACTACCAGAAACACAAAGTATGTGCCAAATCCATTCCCAGTTATGCACTAGATGCTGTACAAGTTAATCCAGACATGAGCCCTGCCTTCTAGGCACTGACAGTCAGACAGCAATGAAATATGCAGGCATGCATTCATCAACACACATGAAAAAAGAAATGTATGTGAAGGGAAAATAAAGCAGTTGGGAATAGGGAAGAGAGGAAGAGAAGCCCTGAAGCCTGTATGTTAGACAGAAGCTTCAAAGATAGGGCGTCCAGAGTGCACACGCTCCATAGGACGGCTGGACACAGCTGTGCTCAGAGAACAGCTGCCCTGCACCTGCCCCACCTGAGCACCACCTAGTCCTCTCCTGCGGCTCTGCCCTGCCCTTCATTCCCTCAGTCCAAGGAGATAACATCTAAGTATTTTACTGTTTGGACCTGCTGGAATAGACTCTCTCATGGGGAGAGGGGTGGAAGCACTGGATCACATGAAATTACAGGGTTATGTGTGAAATTCAGTAACATGGAGCAGACTGGAAATATCTGTCAAAAACACAAATGCATACTTCCTTCAATACAGAAAGAGTGTATGTGCAGATATACTCCCCAGGGATACAAAATAAGCTTTGTACCTGGTTGCTCACTGCAACACTGACTATGACAACTAAATGAAAACAATCTAAATGTCCATCTGCAGAGGGCCAGCTGAGTTCATGATAGCACTCCTATGTAGTGGGGCATTAGGCAGCCAATAAAAAGCACAGAAGAATCTCGAAGATGTATTATTAACCAAAAAAAGGCATGGTTTAGAGGAATGTGCATGTTAGGCTTCCCTGCTCACTCTTTTGAATATATGCACAAGTTTTTGGCTTGTGTACATATGGATTACATCTGGAAAGACACAAAAGAAACCACTGAACAATGGCTAGTTCTGACTTTTTTCACCAAAGCATGTGTCACTTATTCAAATTCAGATGAATTATTTCAGAGGAAGGGGACATCTCCCTGCCCAGTGTCCCCAGTCTGGAGAAGTTCAGGGTTTGGCTGTGGTTCTACGGAAGGCCTGGTTCCCCCAGATGCACCTGTACAGCACTCCTTACCTGAGCTGTTGTAGTCAGAGTCTCCGTTCACACCTTCCAGGAAGGGGACTCGAGACAGGGCTGGCTTCCCCCGGCTGCGTTTGGGAGGCGTCAGACCACTGCATGTCGGGAGGGAGGGGAGTGAAATGAGCAGTTTAAACGACTAACACACCCACTTCTGCTCTCCACCTCTGCTGGGGGCAGTCGCAACAGCTCTTCAAGGAGAACGGTTTCTCACCTTCCCCTAAACATTCACACAAACCCATGACATACTTCTGACCAAAATGTTCCCACGAAGCTTAAGGAAACATGTCACCCGTATGGAAGGACTGAACTTGGAAAGTGAAGCCTGCTCCCCTGCCCAGGGACACTGGATTTCACCCAGAGGGTAGGTCACCCCAAGCACTTGTCAGTCCTTCCAGAGTCTAAGCAGTCAGCAGTCTGGCCATGAGGAGGGTCTGTTCTCACGTCTGCCCAGAATCCTTTACTCTGTGGTTCACACAGCTTGTCTAGAAACCAATTCCTTTTTGAGGCATAAAAATCTGCCTCATTCCCAAATTTTCTATAATGGACATGCCTTACTTCCTTAATTAGGAAAGACATTTTTAAATTGGAAAAACAATCCACTTCTCACTTCTACTTTATGTGTGTGAAGTTTTTCTTAGACAGAGATGGATTTTTTTAACTAGCAAGCAGACGGGTTTTTTTTTTTTTTAATGCGGTTATTGTAAGGAGAAAAAAATCATATATTAGATAAAGACTACATGGTAATAGGCAAAAGTGAGACTAGTAATTTAAGAATAATGATATAACTGGAACCCACATAGGCACTAGTATTTTTAAATTGCTTCCAATGCAATTTCTAATGTACCACCATAGTTAGAAGTCTTTGGGCAAGAATGATGTGGCTATGGTTTTTTTTTCCAATCAAACTTTAAAAACTATTACTGCTATATGCTGCTGCTGCTAAGTTGCTTCAGTCGTGTCCGACTCTGTGCGACCCCATAGACGGCAGCCCACCAGGCTCCACCATCCCTGGGATTCTCCAGGCAAGAACACTGGAGTGGGTTGCCATTGCTTTCTCTGATTACTGCTATATAATTATTCCAATAACAAAAATGCTTAAAAGGCAGGCCAACAACCTGTAGCAGAGCAGAAATGCTTAAGAAACCTCTAGTGGGAAAAAATAAAAATAATAAAAAAGAAACCTCTAGTGAGATAAGAAGAGGTTGAAATTAAGACTGGTTGGAGAGTAGAGTGCTCCTGTTCTACTGAATCATAACTGACTTTATCACGGTCTTACACAGAAAACCCAGCACAACCAGAACCCAATCAATCATAATCCTTCACTAACTAGCAGGTTGGGAGCTTTCCTCCTGCTGGTCAGGACCTGTTGGGGAAAAAAACAAAAGAACACCCAGTTCATATTCAGGATTCAGTTCCCACACACCCTACAAAAATCTGTCACTGGGCTTAGAGAATCTGAGTCCCTATAAAAATGTAAGAAATGGTAGTTCTATTAGGGAAATCTCTCCAAGTTAACATCATGGATCCAGGGAGACACCTCCAAATACAATAGAGGAGGTCACAACCAAGTGGCTATGAGAGAAACTCTGGAGCCAAACTACCTGGGTTCAGAATCTGACTCTTTTACTCATTCATTCTGTTACCCTGAGCAAGTTACTTAACCTCTCTGAGGCTTGTGTTCTCCATGTGATACTATGAGGATTTAATGGGTTAATACACAGAAAGCACTCAGTACAGCACACACTAAGTACTCAATAAATAGCAGGTATATAGTAAATATTGTTGCATGTGCAGGCTCAGTTGCTAAGTTGTATCCAACTCTTTCTGACTTCCATGCACCAGGCTCCATAGGATTCTCCAGGAAAGAATGCTGGAGTGGGTTGCCATTTCCTCCCCCAGAGGATCTTCTCTACCCAGGGATGGAACTGAAGTTTCCTGCATCTCCTGCATTGGCAGGCAGATTCTTTGCTACTGAGCCATCTGGGGAGCCCAAATATTATTATGAAAAAGGCACTAAATTTTAACATCTCACTTTAATATTATAAATTACAGAGGATGAGCTCTGAGAAGGATGAGCTCAATGGGGTAGGATACAACACCAAAACTAGATCCCTGTTTTCTTATTTCACAGAAAAAAGCACAAGTGACTCAATCACGGCTGGCATTTCCACCTTCTCTCCAAGTTACCCAGGCCTAAGCAGACCACCCAATCTATAAGTATTTTGTTTACTGGTTTAACATTTATCTCTCCTTTCTAGAAGATAAACTCCATGAGAACAGACATCTTATCAGGGCTTAGAACAGTGCTTGGCTCAATTGAGTAAATGACCCATAGAAGAGAGGGCAGCTCCAACCTGCTCAGAAAATCATTAGAAAAGATAAACCCAAAGACAGGAGGGGAAGGGGATGGGATTAGTAACCAGAAATTCTTTCAAGGTTCTTTATCCTGCCATCATATGATTCCAGTCTAATTAATAAGGAAAATCTTCCTTTATGTACTTACCACCAGTGTTAAGGAGGGAGGAAAGAAGGGAGGGAGAGAGAGAGAAAGAAAGACAGAAAAAATTCTGCAGTTTAAGTTCTAAATCTCCCGTTTCAAACCCTGAAATTCTACTGAGAACCACTGAGTTAAAGAGGAAATGCCTTCCAAGGGCATTGTTTCCACAGTGAGCAGGAACCCAGAGATACTGGTGGCTTTGGCATGCTCTGCAGAAAGGCAAGCAGTGTGAACAGGCAGGTTAGCCAGAGCCTGGCCTGGCTTGCTCCTGTGGCTCACAGCTGGGAAGAGTGCCCTTTGTGGAGGGAAGGGCCCAACACACCTTCTACTTTTATTCATGGGCTAAGCGGGGACAGTGTGATAACCTCACTCCTACCCTACCCCAATGAACTGAGTTTCCAGGCACCCTATCTTTGAAAGGAGTCAGGAATTTCAACCCAGGACCAGGCTAACAGCATTCTGTACGATTCTGAAACCTCGGCCTCTTCTCTATGCCTAGTAACTGTGTTTACCCATCCACTCCCCTTTATGCTCTAGGGATACAACAAGGAGGGAGAAAGCTAGGACTTATCTGAGGCTTTGTGGGGAAGAAATCTCAAAGCACCCACTGAAATCTGGGCCCTGCTGTGGTGGGGAAGCAGCCCAGGCCCAAGGGGCAGCACCAGGGTAAAGCGAGAACCCAAGAGAACCTACACCCAGCCTGCCTTGGAGGCAGTTCAAACAAAGACGCAGAGTTTTCTGGTGCTGTCTGGGATCTCCTCCCCTGACTCTGAAACCAGGATCCATCCAGTTGCCATGTGGAGGGACCATGAGGTCAGCCTTCTGGATAAGTCATTTTCCCTTTGTGGCACCAAAAGTCTCCCATTTCCAAGAGTCCCACACTCCCTGGTATCTTGCAGAGGATACAACACAGCAGAATTTCAGTAAACTCTTAGACTTGGAAAATACTTGAAGGTTTTGCTCTCAGAAATCCTCCCTTTAGGTGAAAGAATGGGAAGAGAAACCCACCCCTTCCCAGATCAAGGATGGCAGAAGAGCTGGGGTCTCAGTCAGAATAGAGGCAACACCAACCTTCCTATCTGCTCATTTCTTACTCCCACACCACACTTCTAAAGGGGCCATTGTTATGACACCCCAAAAAGCAAAAGACAAAGCCATCTATAACTAGGTTATCAATGGGCTGGGGGGCGGGTGGGGACTGAGTCGAATGTTAGCTTCCCTGGGCAGCACCAGCCTGGCTGTCCCCACCCCTGGAGCCCATTCAGCTCTGCAAACCCTGTGAAGAATGAGCTCCACCCCTCCCCTGCTGTCAGACCAGGCCTGACAGCCAAGGGTCGTGGGGTTCCCTAGGAGCTACCAGAAGCACAGACAAGCGGCCTCGGGAGATAGCAGGGGTAGGGCAACGAAAAAACTGAGATCGGCGGCAGGAGGTTCAATCTGCAGCTGAAAAGAAATTAAATGGAGAGAGGTAGCACAGCTGCCAGCAAAGCTCTGGGACAAGGGTTCTTACCTGCAAGCTTCAAATGCCAGTCCACTGCTGAGACCCAAACTACATTCTGAGTCAGATCCACTTTCGGTGTGTTTTCCAAAGCCGTTGGTCACGCCTGCCAAGGACATACAGAGTGAGCCTGAGTGCAGAAACCCACAACCTCTGACACATGCCGCAGCGTGAGGCAGCTGCCTTGGGAGGGCTCGGGAGGAGGGGTGGAGGCCAGCAGGTCCCTTCCCTTGGGAAATGGGTCTTGGGTGGTGGAGAGAACCTGATAAAGTGGGCAGGTGGGGGGGGGAGGCGGAGATGGTGGGTAGCCCAAGGAACAGACACTGCATTTTCCTTCCCATCCTTCTGGGTATTCTTGAAGCAAACAGCCCACAGCTCATTCTAGTTATTGTCACTTGACTACAGTGGGAAATACCAAGACTTCCTCACTCTGGCTGGCTCACGAGACCCTGAATCTGCTTCTAATTTCAAGCCTCAATTAGCGGGGAATCTCCTCTGCCTCTTGGGGAGCCCACCCACCTTGCCTCTCCAGATAAACAGTCACACACCCTATCCATCACATGGCTGGCAACAACTAACTTCATTCTTTTGGGATGGTGTCAGGGGAGCCTGGGACCGGATAAGGGCTGTGTCAGCCACACCCTGAGATATCTAGCAGAGCTAGTCAAAGTTGAGGATAGGGGAAACTTTTCAGCAGATCCAGAGAGATGAGACCTTCTCAGGATGGGGAGTCAGATTCCCTGGGCTCTACACTGGGCTCTGAAATATGGGTCCCTTTTCCTATTTAATATTTAAGCCTTGGCTTCTCCTTTCCTAAAGCGAAGGTAATAAAGGTAATACTTTTTTACCTATAGAGGGATGCTATTAGGTATGAATAAGGGAATGTCTGTTTACAGCAAGAAGCCCTTCAGAGGCAAATGAAGACTGATCATCCCAGGGACATAACTTTCATCTGCTCTGAAATCTTCAACTCTCTATCTATCCATCCAATTCCCAACCACAATTCAGAATCCTACAAGTCTGATAGCTGAGCCAAGTGCTCAAGAGCTCGGAGTCACATATACCTCAGCCAGAAAACTGAAGCAAGTTACACCTGTGAGAGCAGGTGTCCGAGCCAACACATCCGTGCCCTAACCTGGCTCTGCCTCGAACATTACCACCTCAATTTAAATCACGAAAGCCAGCTGTACCTCATTTGTAAAGGATCAACACCTGCTTTTGTGAGACGCCACTAAGGCTGTGCAAAAACATTCCTAGGCACCAGGTAGCTGAGACAGTGGAGGAGAAGCAGACTTCAGCTCCAAGCAGTGGGCCCTCTCAGGCTGCATGAGCCTGACATCCAGATATACTTCCCTAAGGCAGGATCTTTCATTTTTAGTGCACCGTGCCGTTTGGCTGTGCCTGATATAGCTCAACAGATGACAACAATAACTGCTACCATCTACCGCTTTATACCAAGTACTTTATATAGGCTGCTTCCAATCCTTAAAGCCCTGCAAAGAAGTATCACTAGCCTCATGTCAGAAATAAGGAATAGAATCAGAGAGGTTAACTGATATGCCCCAGGATACGCAGCTGACAAGAAGATGGGATTTGAACTCAAGTCTGCCTAATTAACTTCGGGGCTTCCCAGGTGGCACAGTGGTAAAGAAACTGCCTGCCAATGCAGGAGACATAAAAGATGCCAGTTGAATCCCTGGGCTGGAAGATCTCCTGGAGGAGGGCAAAGCAAACCACTCCAGTATTCTTGCCTGGAAAATCACATGGATAGAGGAGCCTGGTGGGACAGGACGACTGAAGCAACTTAGCACACACGCATAGCCCACTTCAGGCTCAAGTTCCTGACACACAAACCACACACACACAGCCTACTTCAGGCTCAAGTCCCGTTCCCCCCCACCCCCACCCCACAGCCTACTTCAGGCTCAAGTTACACACATATACACAGCCTACTTCACACACACAGGCTACTTCAGCCTCAAGTTACACACACAGACACACACACCCTACTTCAGGCTCAAGTTCCTGACTCTATATACCATCCTACTGCCCTAATATAGGCAAGCTTGGGCCAGATGGGAAGGGAAGGCTCAACTTCTCACACACACACACCCTACTTCAGGCTCAAGTTCCTGACTCTACATACCATCCTACTGCCCTAATACAGGCAAGCTTGGGCCAGATGGGAAGGGAAGGTATTGCTCAAAACAAAGTGTTAGGCAGGAAGCAAGCAAAACAGAGAAAAGCATGTGTTAACCACACAGTCCAAACCCACCCACATAACAGGACATGAGAAGCAAGACCCAGGGCAGGCCCCTCCCTGCCAAGTGAGCTGGGCTTCATATCCCACCAGGACTAAACTGCTCTGTCTGGTAACGGAGATCCTGCACGTTCAGGCCCACCTCGTCCAGTGTGTTGGTTCCTGACCCTCCGGGAAGCCCCTCTCCAAACTGTTCCTCCCAGGCACTCTGTCCTTGGTTCCACATACCACAGCCTGAACTCTTTGCTGCTTTTTACTCTGTCCTCATCCTCAGGGCCAGCTCAGGCACTGTCCCCTCATGAAACCTTCCCAACCCTCTCAGCTCTCACTTCTGAAAACCTCTAGCAGCGCCGTCACCTGACACATAACCACACACTATCCAGCACTGGGGCATCTCTGCACCTCAGGACACCACCCAGCCTCCCCACTGGGCCATGAACTCTTTCAGTGCTGCTCCTGAGTCTGACTTATTCCTCCCAGTGAGCAGCCTGTGCTGGACATGCAGTGAGGACTCCTTGGTGACAAGCCCTGAATACTATCTCCCATGATCCCTTGGCTCATTTTGCTGAGGCCACAGGTTATTATTTCTCAAACATGCAAGCATGTTTCCACATGCAGGGCCTGTGCACTTGCTAGTCTGTTTTTTTGGAACATCCTTTTCCCAGATACCCCAAAAGCTCACACCTCTGGCTCCTTAGATCTTTACTCAAATGTCACCTCCTCAGAAAGCCTTCCCTGGCCCCTCTCTAATACCACCTCAGCACCCCCTGTCCCCCTTCCCTGCTGGACTTTTCTCCACCACTTCTAATATGAGATACAATTTACTTACTTGCTTTCAGTCTAACTCCTCTACAAGGGACTTATTTGTTTTACTTAATTACTTCCCCCCCCCACACGGCAGTGCCTACAATAATGCCTGATATAAATATCTGATAAATGAATGAACTAAAATGAAGGTAGGAACCATTTTATCACATACAGCTTTGTATTCCCCTAAGGGCCAAAGAGAGCCCCAGACACAAGCTGGCCCTCTCAAAACACTTTCTCAAAGCCCAGTTCCCCAGGCCACTGCTCGTGTGCCAGGCCCAACTGTGAGCTGTGGCGCCAGCCTCAATGCTACTACTGGCATCCACAGGGGCCACTACAGATATAGCTGACTGGGGGAGGTGCTGGTTGCCAAGCAAAGCAGGAAAGCATATGAGGAGCGAGAGAAGTCTCAGGTGAGGTCACCTGTCTCTTCCTCCTGCTGGGGGGACCTCTCCCCTTCGCTTTGACTACAGCTCCTGCTCCTCGGCCGCTTCCGGGAGTGCCGTTCGTCCTCGATGCTGGCGGGAGACACGGGAGAGTCCGCTGTGCCGTGGTCCTCACCGTTCTCCAGGGCCCTGTCTGGGCTCCTCTGGAGCTTAACCCCGTTCCTGGCCTTCTTGAAGAGGACTGATGTGCGGCGGCCCACGCCACTGAGTGGGGCGCCAGTGGGGGATGTGTCGGGGGCCATGAGGGACACTCTGTTGATGCCATTGTCACTGAGCAAGCGTTGCAAGGGCTCACTCCCTAGCTGCAGAGGTGATTTTTCCAAAAGCTCATCTTCTTCCACTTTTCTGGGCTTGAGGAATCGGCTTGGAGGTTTGCTATCATTGATGGGTTTCAGAGTGGGGGGATCTGGAGGGGATTCTTGCTCAGACAAGGAAGGTGCAGGTCCAGTGGGTTCCAGGGTTGGTGGGGGAGGCATTTTGGAGTCATCTGTTAGAGAAAAAGAGAACCTGCTTGAACATTTTAGAAAAAGTCTGCCCCTACAAGTCAGATAATGACACTGACAACTAAGAACCAAAAGCATAGGCGGTTAGAACACTTGAGATGCATCCCAGGTCTCAGATTTGAGGTGAAGAAAAGGTAGGACTAAATTGTGTCTATGGGTTTCCCAGGTGGCTCAGTGGTAAAGAATTTGTCTGCCAAGTAGAAGACATGGGTCCAATCCCTGGATTGGGAAGATCCCTCAGAGAAGGAAATGCCAACCCACTCCAGTATTCTTGCCTGGAAAATTTCATGAACAGAGGAGCCTAGTGGGTTACAGTCCCTGGGGTCGCAAGAGATGGACATGACTTATCGACTAAACAGAAGCAGCAGTAAGTTTTGTCTATGCTAGTAGCTCTCAACCCTGGCTATGTATTAAGAGTCACTTAGAAAGCTTCTTAAAAATTCCAATGCTGAGGTCCCACCTCAGACAAACTGAAACCAAATCGCTAAAGATGGAATTCTTTAAAAAAAAAAAAAAAAGCATTTACCAGGTGAGTCTGATGAAGATAGGGTTACAAATCCCTACACCCAAGAAAGCCCAAAGCCCTCTGATTAATCAGTAATTAGATAAGTCTCAACCTCACAAATTAAGGGTCTACAACTGTCTAGACCCAGGTATTTTCCCATCTGTCAATGTATTTTGTTTCATATCATGCAAGTGAAGCAAGCAGGACAAGCAGACAGAATAAGCTTGCAGACAGCAAAAATGCGAGCAAAGAATTTAAATCAGTGGCTCCCAAACATGTCTGTTCAACCTCCACCTTGAAACTTCTAAAAATTGAGACTTTTAAGACAGAGCTCAGATTTCCCTAATCCGAGTTTCTGGAACATGAAGACTAGAAATTTTTGAAATCTCTAGAAGCTGTTGCAACTGGTCCACTGGGCGTGACTCTGCACTGCCTCAGCCCAGAAGTGGGGATGGATACAAACAGGATGCTGACTGCCACACAGGGAGCTGGGAAAAGTCACAATGGACATGAAGCCCTCTAAGGGCTGAATCTGACCTCAGCCACATCCCCACTCTCCAGCAACCTAACACAGAATGGGCCATTCCCCGCAATTTGGCCCCTTTGCCTCTGAAGATAACTTCCAACTTTCTGGACTGTATGGATGACAGGCCCTCCTGAGTTGACAATTCTGCTCCCCAGTGAAGTGGAGAGCATGGACAGCAACTCAGGTAAGGCACCTGGGTCTCTGAGAATCACTTTCCCAACCGTCTTTTGTAATATGGGGCCTTCCTTCTTGGGATGGGCCTGTAGATTTGGCCACCTGGAGTCAAAGCCATGAGCCCAGACCATCTTTAAGGTTCTTTTCTATTCTCCTACTATACCATAACCTAACCTGCTCCAAGAGCCTCTTTACATGATGGGTTAAGCTGGGCTAGTATTTAACTAGTATGTACAATATGGCCATACCAGGTGCAAAATACCAAAATACTTCTGTTAGTAAACAGCCACTGGACCTCAGTATCTCAAACTCCCTGAATCTGCTCACAATCCAGCAGTTGAAAATCCAAATCAGTGGCCCTCAGGAGCCCCCTCCAGGACAACAGCTAACATCTATTCTGACTGATGGATTTTGGTCTCAATGGATTATTAAGTATTTGAACACCACCTCTGAGTGTGCAGGAAAGTGTGACCCTTTCCCAGGGCTTTTGCTTGCCCACTAGGGTCAGAATTAAGGAAGGATGCTGCCACTGTGGGATTTCAGCTTAACCCTCCCTTTCCCGGGCCCCAGACCCTTGCCTGCCTGTGACTGTCTCTCACCTCTGTCCCCATTGTCTTCTGGCTCCTCCTGCGGGGCCTGCTCCAGCACAGCCACATCCCCCCGGGGCCCTGCTGGCAGCTCCCCACTGGACACAGTCTTGTTCAGTGATGGTGGTTGTGGTGGTGGCGGCTGCGCCAGCTTCTGCCGAAGAGCATTGATCTCCCGGCGCAGCAGGCGGACTCGGCGGGTCCGGGCCCCACTGGACCGCATGGCGCTCACCAGGTCTAATTTCTCCAGCAGTTCCTTCAGCTGCACTTCTGGAGACAAGTGGGCCCGGTTCTCTGGGATGAGGATGTTGTCCACTGCCAGGGAGAAAGGAGGACAGAAGGGGCTGAAGGACCTGCCTAGGCCAGGGCAAAGGGACGGGGATTCCTTCAGATGCAAAATATTCTCCTGGAATGCCTGGGTCAGTGGATTCTAGCAGCGTCACTGTGGGGCCTTGGCCCCGCCACACTGCTGCCAGGAGGGCGGCCACAGGTATGAGGTCAGAATCTGGGAAATGTGCAGGAAGCAGTTTAGTCACGGTTACAGGCTTGTGGAGCAGGAACAAGGCAACCTGGCCATCCGCTAACCCGAGTGACTGTTTGGCTGCTGCCATCAAGAAGCAGAGAGCAGGGGCAGGCAGACTGGGGATTCCAGAGGCAATTCCACTTTTCTGATCCTCCACCTGCACTCTTCTGAGAAAGCCAGACACCACACTGTACTCCTGCTGCCCAGGCTCCAATGCCACACAGTGGGAGTCCAGGAGAGAAAGACCCCTTATGAAACCTTAGTTTTTAAGCAAATAGCTAGTACCTGATTCCCGTCCTAGCATTCAAGAAGGGTTTGGTGAATAAAACTTTAACTCCTGGAACAATTCTAGCCACAAGCACATGGACCCCAGCCTGTGCCTACCTCCAATTTTGCTCCTATAGTCTACCCGGTAGCCCCCAGGACCATCCTAATCCCCAGCTCTCCAAGATTTTATACCTGTACCTCTCCTGGCCCCTCTCCTCCCCATCCATCCCAGCCTCTCACCGTCTTCCCAGGAGAAGCGGTAAAAGTCCTCCGATTTGGGTGACTCGGGCAGGTGGGTGCCCGTCTCAGGGTCATAGCCGATGTTCTCTGCCTGCCGCCGGGCGTGCCGCAGGATGGCCCCTCCCAGGTCCCGCAGGCGGACAGCTGCTCGGTGGAAAATTGTGTCTTTAGCATTATACTTCATGCAGTTGGTAACTATAAGGTTAAAGTCCTCCTCAAACTCCTCCAAGGTGTGGTACAGGTGGGACTCCAGCTTCCGCCTCATAGTAGAAAAATCCATTGGCTTGGATATGAATTCCAGGTAATCTGGAACCTAAACATATAAAACCTGTACAATTACAACAACCATTTACTAGCCAAACAGGCGCACCCTTCACCGGCACTCTTGCCTCCCCGTTTTCTGGCTTGGCCAGACTCATTCATAGCTGACGGGCCCTGGACCACCCTGCCCTGATGAGCCATCACCATAAGCCAGTCTACTAGCCTTGCCAGACACCCCCAGGTTTTGTACACCCTGTACCCCAACCCTTTCCTGGCCTACTCAGACCCTATTTCCATTTCAGGTGGGGCTCATTGCTCAGAAAGTAGTGGGGAACTTGCCTCACTCAGGTTGACAGGCTCGGCAAAGATGTGTGCGGGATCCTTCTCCTGCAGCAAGTCCAGTGTTGTCCTCAGCAGAACGTTGAATGGCATCAGCTCCAGCTCCATGGCAGCTTGCTGAATCTTGATCTGTGGGAAAGGTGGGGAGAAATCAGGACATCCCCCCCAAAGAGGCATGGAACTTTTTCTTGATAACTTGATTTTCATCAGTCATGATGAAAATTTTCACAAGACAGTAAGCTAATCAGGACTTGAGTTATCACTGTATGTAGCTTAGAAACAATGATACAAACAGCTACCATTTTGTGAACCTTTCTTATGTATTCAGCGCCGTACCAAAACTTACTTACCAAAAGTTAATACTTTTATAGTCCAAACAACATTCAATATAGGTACAAATGAGGTATTTTACAAAGAGGAAACTGAGGCATGGAAGGACTGACTGGCCTGAGCTTACGCAGCTAATAGGGACAGAGCTGGGATTCACAGTGTGAGATTTTGACTATGTACACTGCCTTTCTACTTCTATTACTTCAGTTAATCATCACAACAACCTTGAAGGAGAAACTGTTAAGAATAGGGATGGGATTTAAACCAAGGTCTGACTTAGCCCAAGGGGCACACTGATGATATAAAATGTGCCTTGGGCCACAATTCCCACCAAATTGGCCCTTGGGACAATTAGGTTGGCCTAGCAAAGCTAGGCACCCCCTCAGGCAGCAAGCAGACAGACAAATTTGCACCACTGTGCTGTACAAACGTTATTTTCCATGTGTGCCCTGATGTGAAAAGGTTGGGAGGCCACAGACTAGACTATGAGACGTTCTTGCCGCTTGACTACATTCAAACAGGCCTGCCTGCATCCCCTGTCTACTTCCTTTCCCCTTACATTTCTCTGGACCAGAAATGGGAAGAGACGTTCAACTGGGGGACTAGGCCTGGGATGGCAGAGACAGTGTGACTACAAGGACAAGGTCCTGAGATGTCCTCCATGCTCACCCATGCTTACATATAGCAAAAGCTGCCCAGTCTCAGAGGTAGAAATTCAGGCTATTCAGCCCACAAGAGAAGGGTTTGTGCTGGGGCTTAACGGTGAAACAGACTTTGGAGAAAGAGAGAAAAAACATCTTTAACTTGGGCCTCCGGAGCATGGAAGTAACAGCTGCTATTCCTGGACCATAAAGAACACTTTTGGCTCGTCATCCATTCAATTAATAGTTTTTGCTCACTGTCATATGCAGGGTGCTGCAACAGATACTCTAGGGAAGCAAAGAGTTATCAATAATGATGCTAGCAGCTGATACTTCTATAGTCCTACTATATGCCAGGCACTGTTGTAAGCTCTTTATATACACTAAGTCATCTAATCTGCACAACCTTATGAGGTAGGTTCTATTAATACCCTCCTTTTATAGTCAAGGAAACTTGAGGTATTAAAAAAAAAAAAGACTGTAAGTGTTTAAGGGTCAAATGAGAACCCTCAAGCTCCCAGGTCAAAAGAGATACCCATCGGAATGGCCTGAGAAGCTCTCCAAAATATTCAAGGCCAGGCTCCTCCTGAGATTTCCTAAGTGAGAAACTCCAGGGGTGGCCTCAGACATGTAATATTAAGCTTATGCTTGAGGCCACCAGAAGCTAAAATAGCTCCCCAAGTTTGAAGCCATCAGTAGCACCACACCCAATGCCTAGTAGGCAGGGCTTGGAGCCCATAGTGCTAGGGACAAAAAGATCTTGAACAAGATCTCTGGGAGCTCCTCCTCACCTGCTCCCGCTTGAGCTTTTCTCTTTTCCGAATCAGTTCGATTAGCAGCCGTGCCCGCTCCAAATCATGCCGGAGCTTCTGCCAATATTTCAGCTCTTCCTTTACAGCACTTGTCTTCTCGTCCTGCTCCCGCTGCAGGAGGGTAGGGAAAAGAATGAGGAGCTGTGGGCGTCCCTCCTGCCCGAAGTCCTCTCCGTGGCCAGCCTCACAGGCACTCTGCAGGTAAGAGCCCCATGCCCTTCCTGGACCCTCGGTTCTAGAAAGCCTTTTCACCCCCTTCCATCACATGCCTTCCTCCTGTACTTCCCCAGTCCTATGACATTGTCTCTTCACTACAGCACAACCACCACTGCTGGGGAGAGATGGGACTACCCCTTCCTACCCCCAGGGACACCAGAGAGCAGCTGTGCATCCTCAGGACTGGAAAGAATTTCAGAAGGAAACTAAGACACCTCAGGGTGGAAAGAATTTCACCCTAGAGCCTCAACTTGGCTGGAAAACAAGGCCAAGTTTTTACCATAAGCTTATACTTACTGACTTCAACATACTTTAAAATATCAGCACTACCACCATCATCAAACATGTGATTCTTGCCTAGAAAAACTACAATGTAGGTGAGGCCCAGGGTTTGATACACAAGGGCACAGCAGCATAAAGCCAACAAAAACTGGTCTGATAAACTGAATATAAAATGCTGAGAAGATATAAAATAGAGAAGATCTCAATGGGTGGGGCTCAGGTCAGGGATTCCGGGGGTGAGTAAGCTTACTAGGATTTCACATGCAGTGATGGACATGGATGAACAAAGCAGTAAGAAAGGCCTCTTTTGGAACTGAAGGGACCACAGTGCAAGTATGAAGGCACAATCAGTGATTCTTTGCTTGTAGAGGAAAATGGGCCAGCCAGAGCAGAGGAACTGGAGAACCACACAAGCCAAGGAAGATCCAGAATCCAACTGGCAAGAAGTTTCAAATGCCAGGCAAAAAACCTTAGCTGTAGCCTGCCTGAAGCGGGGCGGGGGCGGGGTGGGGTGGGGTGGGGGATATATTCTGGAAAAAAAGAAATGACAGGATGGAAAATAGTTAAGTGAATAAGGCAGTACCAGTGGTAGAGCAAAGAAAGAATTAGAGGCTAGAGACCGCCTAGAAAGCTACTGCTGAAATTAAGGGGGCATGGGTGAGCAGAGTAGTTGTAGAATGGAGATAAAGGACCATACCCTGATTAACCCCCTGAAACAGACTGGGGGATGATTAACTGTAGCTCCTAATGGAGGGAAGAGCCAATAGTAACTCCAAGGTAGACAATGTCTGAGGTCAGGAGGAAGGAGCATATATATATATATACATAAATACATTTATGGAGACGAAGGAAGATACTGAATCAAGTTTCCAATATCTGACATACAGGGATGATTAACTGTAGCTCCTAATGGAGGGAAGAGCCAATAGTAACTCCAAGGTAGACAATGTCTGAGGTCAGGAGGAAGGAGCATATATATATATATATACATAAATACACTTATGGAGACGAAGGAAGATACTGAATCAAGTTTCCAATATCTGACATACAGGAAACAATATATACATGAACATCTATACTTCCTCTGCCCCAGAGAGACTGAGGGCAAAAAAAAGAGAGGGGACAAGACAAGAAACCTGGAGCCACAGCCACACAGTTATTAACAACTACAACAGTGGACAAGCTCTCCAAGCCAATGGGCAGACAGCAGGGCCTCTGGGAATATTACCACTAAGGAGTAAGAATTGGGATCAGCAGAGGGTGCATTCAGTGGGGTAGAGGAGGTGGGAAATGGTGTCACAAAGAAGCTTTACGACAAAGTGACTGTGGTGTCAAATGTTGTCCAACAGTCTATAAGGTGAGAGAATATGAGGGAAGACTTGCTGGGCTGGAAGGGTGTCACTATTGTTCTCGAAGAAGCTACAGGGGAGCAAGCAGACCATTTCAAGGAGAGAGCAAATATACACTTCCCTTTCAGGACTTCAGTTACAAAAGGCAAAAGTGAAATCAGACAGAACAGAGGGCATCAAAGTCATGGGAAGGTTTGCTCTGTCTCTGGATAAAGGTGTAAGAATATTTAAAGGCAGAAGTAATGAAACAAGTGAAGAGAGAGAGAGAACCAAATATGCTTTTAAAAAATCTCTCAGGGTGCCTCCACCATGTTGGAAAACACTGAACATGCAGCGACTCCAGCTGCTAATGTCTACAAGGCCACCCAACTGGGCAGGCTGTGTGTTACAACTCAGATGGTTAATTTGTGTATTTCTTATGGAACATTTTTTTGGCAGATGGTAGTATAGTGTCTTAAGGAAAGTATGCCTTTTCCTAAGTCATATATCATGGTCACCTGACTCACACTCAGCCCACTTCTTCCTTTCTGCAGTATCTAAAGGGGTTTCCCCATGTACAGGGAAAGTTGGGCCTGCTCTCCACTCTCCCCTAGAATTTGCTCCAAGCCAAGCCAAGCCTCTCATCTAGAAGGAGCTGCTATCTGGCCTAAAGAGCACTACAATGCTGGAGGTCACTCCTGGGGTGGACCACCTAGAGGGGTGAAGGCTACAGGCAAAGGCTCCACAGAGGGCTCAGGGAGCATTGTCCCACCATCTCTCCTTCATCACTCTCCACCTCCCTCCACTGCCCTCAAATCACCACTTCACCTACCTGCTCAGCATTCCTCTGAGACTGCAAGTGGGAGTGCAGGCGCCGGATGAGGGGGACACCATTCCGTGCCTGCCGCTTCAACAGCCAGTAGTTGTGAAGCCGCTGCATGAACTGGGTTTTCCTCTGAAAGGAGAGACCACTACAGATCTTGTTCAACCTTGAGTAGAGGCACAGGGAAGTGAAAGACAGGGTCAGTGGGCAGCCCGGATTACAACCTCCTATCAAGGCCCCGTGGTTCATTTCAGAACTTGGTAGAGGAAGAGAGAATAAAGTGGCCAAATGCCTCACCTCAGAGAAAGGCTTGAAAAGGATGGCAAAGTTAAGCAGCTCAGATTCAGCATGAGATATTTCACTTGATTTTCCACCTCCTGCCTTGCAGGTTCCAAAAGAACCCTCCCCCAGGAACCCAGACCCTTTAGTCCTGGACTCCTAAGACATAGGTCTGTGTCCCAACACCCTCACTCTTTTCTTGATAAAGGCAGCAAAAGAGAACAGGAACTTGAGTAAGCTGTGGGCAGTGTGGTCACTATTTCCTGCCCCTCTGTGGCTAAGGGTCCCATCAGACCAGGGAGTAGTCCACAGCCAAGCTGGAAGGAAAATTAGTAGGAATATAGCAGGCTACTGCCCTCGAACCCAAATGCAACCCTTTGGAGTTGTCTGACCTCTGGTTTTTCATTAAAACTCAGCAGCCTAAAAATGCCTAATTTTGAACTAAATTGGAAAAAAAAAAAAAGAATCTAAAGACATAAGAGGATGGAGAATCTGAAAATTTAGCTGGCTCCACAAAGAAAAATAAATAGTATACAATATCACTTATATGTGGAATCTAAAACCTATAAGAATATAAGAGAATTCCCTGGTGGTCCAGGGGTTAGGACTCAGTGCTTTTACTGCAAGGGCCTAGGTTCAATCCCTGGTCAGGGAACTAAGATACTGCAAGCTGCTTGGGATGGCCAAAAAATATAAATAAATAAAAAATATAACAAACTAGTGAACATAAAGGCAGCAGACTCCAAGAGAACGAACTAGTGGTTCCCAGTGGGTGTATGGGGAGGGGGGGCAATACAGGGACAGGGGAGTGGGAGGTACAAAATATCAGGTATAAGATAGGCTCAAGGATATACTGTACAACACAGGGAATATAGTCAATATTTTGTAATAATTGTAAGTAAAAAGTAATCTTTAAAAGTTGTATGAAAATAAAATTTTAAAATTTAGCTGGCTCAACTACCCCAAAAGATAAGTCTGGAGGTCAGGATTTAAGCTGATAACACGTGGGGGGGGGGGGTGCGGGAATCAGTAGGAAAGGCATTAATGAAAGTTTATAATCTCTACAATAATGCTCAGACTGCAAGGTGGGTCACATTATTCCCATGTTTCAAATGATGGAAAGGCAGAACAGCCTATGTTCTCAAGAACAGAGGCTAAATACGTTGTTGAAGCCACTAACGCAGCTAATAAGATGGTGAAGTTGGGCAGGATTTGAACCCATGATCTCTCTGCTATACCATATTGTGTTCCCAAATTGATTAAACAAGGACTCAGTGCTCCTCTGGCTTTTCCTCTGCTTCTCTTCCTCTCACTTGCACACTTCCACTGAAAGGAAGATAACTATGGCTAAACAAGGTGGAACCTAAAAAGTATATTCATGTTGGGCTGGACATGTTGGGCTGGAAAAGCTCTTCTGGCTTTTCCTCTGCTTCTCTTCCTCTCACTTGCACACTTCCTCTGAAAGGAAGATAACTATGGCTAAATAAGGTGGAACCTAAAAAGTACATTCATGTTGGGCTGGACATTGCTCACCTAGGCCTTGCGCCTTTCCATGGTCAGACATCCCTGCCCCAAAGCCAAGCTGACAAAATCAAGGCCTAGGCCTTTCCCCAAAGAACAGCTCCCCCACCAACACCCATGCCAAGCACACCTGCCCAGATGCAGGCAGCCCCCACCCTCTACAACCTCTTGGCCATGGAGGGTCCCAATAGCAGGCGGGAAAAAGAATAATAATAAAATAGCAGTAGCAGCAGCAGCCACCATTTATTGAGCGCTTACTATTTGCCAGGCACTGTGCTGAGTGCTTTACTTATACTATCTTACCGATTTCTCCCAACTACCCTCTGAGGTAGGCTCATTTACAAATAAATACACTAAGGCTGAAAGAAGTTAAGCGACTTGCCAAAGATCATACTGGTAGTGACAGAAGCTCAAGATTCAAATGCAGGTCTCTCTGGTTCTTAACTAGCATGTAGTGCTGGACCCTGCAAGAAACCACCTACAAAAGTACACTTGACAACCAAAAAGTCTAGACCCAGGGCATAACCACCAGGGGACTAAGCATGGACCCACTCACCTAACAGAAGCGGGGAGCCTACAACAGCTCTGTGACTAGAAGGTCCATTTCTGTTGACTAAATCTAACCCCAGTAATGGCTCACAGGAGCCTCTCCCTCTGGGTCTTGTCTTCTTCTCTTGTCTTCTTTCCAGATGGACAAGTCTGGCTGCCTGCTTTCTGCAAACAACTCACTCTCCACTGCCCTTTCTCCCTATCCCTTACACAAAGAGAGACAGACAGACAACAGGAACAGAACCTAAAGGTGTCACGTGCCCCAGCTTGTGGTCCAGGATCTGTCACTTTCCCTCGGTTCCTTCCAGCCCTTAGAACAGGACTTGGCATATAGTAAGTGCTCAATAAACATCTTGTTGAATGAATAAAGGAGTGAACAACTTTACCTCCTGTGGCCGCAGTTTCTTCATCTGGGGGTGTGGGAGAAGGTGCAAGGACTGTGTTAGATGAATAATCTCCAAGACTCCTTCCTGCTCTAACACTGTAGTCTTTTTAATGAACATCAATAATGAGATGAGCCTCCACTGAAAAGTCTTCCCTGTCTCTTGCTTCTCTGCCAAGCTCCCATCCCTCCAACAGCTCCAGATACCTCTCTGATGACTTAAAACAGGCTTGGGAGGAGCCAAAGTTTCTTAGTTATACTGCAGAACTGATCTTTCCTCTAAATCTAAAAGTTTTTTAGGAGGAGACACAACATATCTTCCCCACACAACAACCCTCTTACACAAAGTTCCCATCATTCCCAGGATAGAGCTTTCTGGACAACAAATACCCATACTGACCATTTGAAACATAGGTTCTCAATTGGAAGTAGTTCAATCCCCGTAAGATTACTAGGAATATATGTGGGGAGCATCACCAAGGATGCTTAACATCAAGAAACGCATGGGATGGTCCTAATAATGAGTCACCCCCTATCGAAAATGCCACTGGTGCCCTGCTGAACTATTACCTTAGACATCCTGTCGCCTGGGTTTCTAAGAACTTAAGTGTGTGTCTCACCTTGAACCAAAGGAAATACATTGCTTTGAAGGGCACAATCAAAACCACAAACCAGACTGGGCGAGCCCAGGGTCCAAAGGAGAAGTCTAAATTTGAGAGCACAAAAGAGAACAGGAATTCACCAACATTAGGTAAGGAGGTCTGGCTCAGGGCCAACACCAGCCCAAGAAGAAACCATGCATCCCCAGGGAGACCTTCTGGGCAAGCTCACCTGTAAGAGGGTATCCGTGGGACAGTCACCATGGGGACAGTGGAGGTCGTGTCTCGACCCACTTCCTCTGGCTCCTTTTTGATCCTTTGCTTCAAAGTCATCTTGTTCTTCTTCGACACTCCCTTGAGGGGGCCACCTAACCCACCCTGCCCTTCACCTTCCTCCTCCTCTTCTATTTCTTCCTTCTCTTCCTCCTCCTCACAAGCCTCCTTCAGCCCTTCCTCATCCCCTGCCTCACTGAGGCTTCCAGGAGAGTCGCCCTTCCTCTTAGCAGTAGCAGCACCTGGCGGTGAGTGGGCCTCACAGTAGGCAGTCTTGCGCACTGTGAAGATGGTGCCATTGAGGCTGGTCTCACGCATAGGCTCAATCTTCATGAAGAGCCCAGCCCGCTGTGCACACGTCACATGGAAGGCCGTGTAGCAGTTCACCTTATGGCACTGGATGGCTGCACCTAGCCCTTTCTGCTTACAGATATAGCAGGTTAGTTTCCAGCGGGCAGGTGGGATATTGTCGATGCCCTCAATGGGCTCCAGGAACACGGTGTTAGCAAAGCAGACTTCAGGGATCCAGATGGCACACACCACATGGGCCCAGTGCCCATCACTGGTCTGTTTGAAGGCGCCACCCTTGTTGGGGCAGAGGACGCAATCCACAGGCCGGGAGGGAGACTGTAGGCAGCAGCGGCATAGCCACTGGCCCTCAGGGATGTAGGGGACGCCATAGCACTCCTGGTGTACAGCCAGGTTGCAGATGTCACAGAAGAGAATGACGTTGCTGTTGTGGCACTCGTCATCCAGGCACACACAGCAGAAAGCATCTTCATCAATGAGTGACTGCTGGGCCCCACTACTGCGACTTTCCAGGTATGACTCCTTCTCAAGCCGGTCCACCAGCAGCTCAAAGGTGTCTGCCGACACCAAACTGTACCCATCTACTCGCCGCTTCTCATTTACCAAGTCCAGCCAGGCGAGGTCCTCTTCATCCATGTCATACTCGACTTCTGCATCCAGATCTTCAGGTGACTTTTCAATGTAGCGGTAGTAAGCAGCAGGCAGCGGGGGTGCTTCTGGCTGAATGCCTGAGTCCACCATGCGGAAGCTGGGTTGCGGGAGGTGGAAAGAAGAGCCAGATGCATGCTTGGAGCAGGACTCCTTCTTTTTGCCCTTGGATGAGGATTTTTTGGACTTGCCAGGGAACTGAGGCTGCTCACTGTTTTCCTTGTTACTATTGCATTCGGTGATATCCTGGGCAGTCAACTCATCCTCTGTGATGATCTTGAGTGGATCATAGATGCTAATACGATGCAGGCGTCCATCGATGTCCACCTCCACAATCCGCTGGGCCTGGGCATACGTCAGGGTCTCCCGAGTGGGTGAGCACTTCAGACTATAGGGGGATGGGGAGCGCCGGCCCTCGGCATTCGGCCGCGACTTTCTGCGAGGCTTCCTCATGGCACCTGGGAACCAATGAGACACACCTAAGGAGAGAAGGCCAGGAGACTGATAGTTAGGATGGATGCTGGATCCATGGATCCATGCATGCTGAATGGTTAGGCATCTATGCACTCATTTACCATTCCTTCTGAGCAGGTGGCCACTGAACAAACTGGCTATTTCCTCAGCCTGAACACCCTACCCCTCAGGCATCATTTACCATGGCTTGCTCCTTCACCTCTTCCAAGTCTTTTCATAAACAGTGCTTCTCAGTGAGTCCCTCTCTGACCATTCTACTGAAAACTGCAAATCCCTTTCCCTCATCAGTCATCTTTCATCCTGCTCTGTTTTTCACTGTTACTTACACTCACCAATTTTTGCTGTGCTATGTAATTTACCTATTTATCATGTATATTTTCTTCCTTCCACTAGAATGTGGGCTTTCTAGGTGAAACTAGTGGTAAAGAACCTGCCTGTCAATGCAGGAGATGTAAAATATAAGAGATGCAGGTTTGATCCTTGGGCTGGGATCCCCTAGAGAAGGACATGGCAACCCACTCCAGTATTCTTGCCTGGACAAGCCTGTGGGCAGAGGAGCCTGGCGGGGTACAGTCCTTCGGGTCTCAAAGAGCCAGACACAACTGAAGAGACTTAGCCAAACACAACTGAAGTGACTTAGCACAGCACAGCACTAGAATGTAAGGTCCATGAGGGGAAGGATTTTTGCTTGTCTTGTTCCCTGTTGTATCTCCAACAAGTGTTAGCTGAATGAAACAAGAAACCAAACACACGTGATCCCTACCCTTGAGGAGCTCTGTCTGATTGAAGGGACAGAAAAGTACAGATCACTACAGTGAAACATGGGGAGAGAGCTAACATTCTAATAATGGACATAAGGCTGTGGGACAGCCAACTACGAAAAAAGGGGGTGGTGGTTAAGACTTAGGAAAGGAGTGAACAAGAATAGCATCCACTTATAAGCTCTACGCATGAACAGTGTAAAGCCATGAACAGTGGCCTCATGAGGGATCAAAAATCATAGGTCTAGTGCCCTTTCCCAATTGATCTTACCATGATCAGAAACCCTATCCCCTTATCACACTCAGGGGTGAAGGGGGTGAAGGCACCTGAAATGTCTACTACATGTGGTCTAAGCACTTCAGTGTGCAGGGTATTCTCTGCAAAAGGCAGCATTCATGATGCATTGGCTAGTACATCTCTAAGCAGAAAAGCTGGAAGCTCTGGGAGTGGCCTCAAGTGGCCTATATGGGACTCTCACCGGACCCAAGGCCAAGATAATGAAGGTAATATCTGATGTAAACTCTCAATGTATCTGTTACCTCAAAGTCCCTCTCTCCCAAAATACTTCGTCTACCTCTGTGCAACAAGGTGAAACCTCTAAGTTTTTCTCACATTGTTTTCTGGGATGAAGAGAATTATGACAAGCTCAGAAGGAGCTGTGGTCGCAATTACCAAGGGCATCAGTGCTAGAAAAGACCTTTGAGGATATGATGCTCTAAGGTATAAGCAGAGACTTGGAAGGCTATGAACAAGGAAATGATTTTAAGGAGACAAAACAGAATCTGTCACTTTGGTTGCAAGATCTACCATCTTTATAAAGTGGAAAGGGTGATTATAATGTAACACACTTTTCTACAAAGCCCTTTTGCTTTTAATACTGTTCACAACTATTTTGGAAGGTAGAACAGATATCCTCATCCCCATTTTACAGATGAAGAAACAGAATCCCAAAAAGGTATCATTCCATGCAATGCTAGTAAACAATAAAGCTACAATTCAAACCCAGATCTTTTGATCTGCTCAACTCCTCTCACTAGGACGTTAAGTACACCACAGAGATGCCATGGTCTGGTACAAAAAGAGGCTCTGAGGCAGTCCAGATTGTAATCTTGGCCCAGTGTGACCCCCAAGAAAGTCATTGAATCGTTCTGTGCCTCTCTACTTAATCAGTAAAATGAAATTAATAAAACAAATCTCTCAAGGGTTGCTACTTATTAATAAAGTACTGTTACCATTCTTACTCAAAATGCCTTTCAATCCCAAAGTGTGACTGAAACAAAAACAAACAAAAAGCAACTTTACTGAGGCACAGTGCCAGGCAAGCATAAACTGTATTTGGACCCAAAGGAAAGAGAATCATCACAGCAATTCTGTGCAGGTTCCAGAGACCCTTGGCCACTCCATGCCTTACAAACGCCAACTCCCCTGGGGGGAAGCCCAGGCTAACGGACCTGCTTTATTACCCGCCCCTCTCCTTCAAGGGCGTGGAGACCCCTGCAGAGTAAAAATCTACCTCAGTACTAACTCGAAATGGCCCAGAGAGCAGATGAAGCCCCTCCTTTGTCAAAGCCACGGTATATTCCCCCTCCCTACCCGCTATCCGCTACCTCCTGGGCAGCTCGTAGCGAGGGTCTCTCTCAGCCAGGCGGCAACATCTAGAGACTTCTGCTGTCCTACCCAAGACGCTAGGGGGCAAACTCCAGAGGGGTAAGGGCTGCGGCTGAGGAAAAGGAGTTTCGCCCGCAAGGAGCTTACAGTCTAGTTTTTTGGCGGGAGTTTCTCATCCCACACAGCCCTTCCCACATACACAGCTTCAAATACCTCCCAACACCCTCAGAGGTCTGCCTGGCACCCCCTGAGCCCCACCTCGCCCACCCCAGACATGTCCTTGAAGAACGAGCTTCTGCAACTAGACTGTTGCCCCTACACCCCACACGAAATACTCATGAGACAAGAGAGAACCCCAGCCAAGGCTCCCTGCCCCTTTAAAGGGGCACCTCTTCCAGAAGAATCTTGATCCTTCAGAGGTGAAAGGAGGGAAAATAACATCTCCTCACCAGAGAGGAGGCGGCGAGCGCGCCACTGACAGACTGACGCGGAGTCCGACCCTCAGACAGAGAAAGCTAGCGCCTGCGAACGAGCGGAGCGCAGAGGCGAGAGCCCATTGGCCGCCTCACCTACCCGTCAAAAGGAACTGGGGGGCCAAGGGACGTTCAGGGGGTGGAAATCTCCTCTGGTCTGACCAATTGGAGAGTGTGGCGGGGGCGGGGCTCGGTGGCTTGGCTTCCAGGACCGGGGGGGAAAACAAGATGGCGGCTGCGGGAGGGGGTCCTCGCTTTTCAGCTCCCCCCCTCACTCGCCTTCTCCTTCCCCGCCGCCACCCTGGCTCCAGGAGAGAGCTTTCGCGCCGCCCTCGTCCCTGTCGGGAAGCCCCTCGCTTCCCTCCCCCACCCCGCTCAATCCCTGGTCTCTGTAGGCCCTGCTGCCCTCGCCCCCGCTCCGTCCGACCCCGCTGCCGCCCCCATTACCTCAGCCGCCGGCCCGGCCCTACCGTTCGGGACCCCTGGGCGCGGGCGGGCCAGCCGTGTAGTAGGTTGGTGCGGCCCGGGGAGCGGAGCGCGGCCTCCTCCCGCGCTGGCCTCCGCGGCCACCGCCGTGCCCCCTCCCGGCCCGCGCTGGGGCCCCGGCCCGGCCGCCGCCGCCGCCACTCCCGGGGGAGGAGGGGGAATGGAGCCGCCGCCGCCGCCGCCGCCGCTGCCGCCACGGAGCCCGGCCGAGGGGAGGGAGGGATCAGCCCCCAGGCAGGATCCGCCCCTCCGGCCTCCCCCCCTCCCCCCGCCACCTCCACCCCTTCCCTCGCTCCCTCTATGGCTCCGCGGGCTCTCCCCCTGAACGGGATCGAGAGCGCGAAAGAGAGGGAAACGGGGGGGAGAAAAAAAAATCCCCCCGCCCGTACCCGGCGCGGCGGCGGCGGCCGGGGCGGTGCGGAGCGGAGCGAAGCGGCGCGCGGAGCCGCTGCCGCCACAGGGCACGGTCCCCTGCTCGGCCTCACGGTGGCGGTGCGGACGCGGCAGGGGCGCCTAGCAAAGGCGGGATCTGCGCTCGCCGCAGCCCCGGTTCACCCCGGCCCGGCTCTCCTCCTTCGGGTCGAGCCCGACCAAAGAGCTGGAGGACGTTCGGATCCAACTGAGAAAAACACAAGTCCCTAACTCCTCTTAAGAGTGGTTGGTCATCCCCTTCCCCCAGCCCTGCGGGGGAGGAGGCTAAGGTTTGGAGCGACAGCCCCTCTCCCCGAGCTAGAGGGTCTCTAAGCCAAGAGCAATCACTGAAGACAAAATCGGTCTGCAGTTTTTTTTTGTGGTGCAGGTGCCTGCACTACTTCTAGAAAGTCGTCCCCACCCCCACCCCCCACCCCCGCGTTTCAGTTCAGAGGACAAAGGTCTATCGATGTCCATATCTTCCCCCAGTGAGGACACCCGGGGAAGACCTGCCTGCTTCTCTTGTGTACAGGTGAGCGTCTGATTCCCCACCAGACATTCTTTATAAGAATCAGACCTGACTTCGCTGTGCCCGGTCCTCTCCCTTCTGGGTTTTAAAAAGCGTAAGCATAGAAGTTTGACAGTCTTACTTAAGGACGTCTGGTAACTCGTTTGTCACTATAGACACGGGAAACACCCTCACACCTGATTTGGCTAGGAGTCGGTTACTGTAATGCAAAAGCAGTTTTCTAATAGATGCTCGGCAAATGGCAACTTCAAACTCTCAGGTATCAATAATCAGCCCGGCTTTTGCTTTCGTAAATAAATTTGAGAAAAGGGCGCGTTTGCCACCCCTCTTTTGCCTATAAATTGGAAAGCTTACCGCATATGACTGAAGTCTTAAGCACCAATATTTAACGATGTTTATAAAGGATATATGGATAGACTGTTAAATGTGAAGATGAATGACATGTTTTGAAAGCGATACCTCTGCCCGCGCTCGTGGTGTAGCTTGGTGAGACTCACAGTTTCTTGCTTGGTTCTGATGATCAACAACACAGATTGTAGAGTCAGAGGATGAAGAATAAAGGCTTTAGGACCCAAGTCTTCCAAATGTTTGAACTGAACAAACTGCTACTTTTGAAGTATAGATGTTTATCATTCTAAGGAATGTAAACATTGTGTTTTGAATTTGAAAGTTTGATAAAAGTAAAGACGCTTATTTGTATAACAAAGATG